TGTTTTAATTTGTACTCACAAAGTTTTTTAGCCTACAAGGCAGGTAGTTTCCAAAAGTATTCCTTTAAAGAAGTTTACTGACTTCAGTTAAATGAGTTTATTTTGTGACTGTTTCTAAGGATGAATCAGACTGGATGTGGTGACTCACACCTATAATCCCAGCACTTTGGGAGGCTGAGAAAAGTAGATGGCTTGAGCCCAGGAGTTCAAGACCAGCCTGAGCAACAGAATGAAACCCTGTCTCTACCAAAAATACCAAAAATTAGCCAGGTGTGGTGGCACATGCCTGTGGTCCCAGCCACTCAGGACCCAGCTGAGGCAGGAGGACTGCCTGAACCTGGAAGGCGGAGGTTGCAGTGAGCCGAGATGGCAGCATTGCACTCCAGGCTGGGTGACAGTGAGATTATATCTCAAATAAATAAATAAAATAAAATATTGTCGTGTATAGTTTGTTATTTAATTATTCATTTATTATTGATGTGAAATCTCTTGCTCACACTAATCAGGCTTACTATAAAATTAAATAAACAAGCTCAAGATGTTTGGCAAAATAATGCTAAAAATGATCTAACATCAGTGTCCTAAATGTTAAACTAACAAACAGGACTATCTAAAAATCTCCCCAATTTCATTCTTTCATATAAAGATTTAATAATTCAGAACAGTTTTTGACAGCTTGTGAAAACAGTACCTTTGTAATTATAAACTAACTTCAGAATTTAAAGCCAATTTCTGAAATAAACATGAAAAAAGAAGAACAAATTATTTTAATAAATTATCAAGGAACACAAGGATGTTACTAATTTTGCTTCAGTTTACTGTGTGATGAATGTAACAAGCACTTTAAAATCCTACTTACAACTGAGTTAAACACTGAAAGTGCCTTGGGGAACAAAATCTAACTGAAATTTATTACCACAAAGAAATAAAGTCTCAAACCACCAGTTAGAACAAATCACACAAATGTATTAAATCCCGAGTCTAATGACTTTTTCCAATCACACCCCAAAGTAATCCAGTTCTAACTAAAATCAAGCTATATTTTAAAGGCATTAAAATCAAACAAGCTAACATCAAAATATTTCCATCACTCTACTAAAATTTATATTATACTGTGAAAGACACAATAATGTTTTTAGCTATTTAAAAAAAAAACAAAACCTACATCTTGGAAACTGAGCTTTGAGGTTTTAGAGTAAAAAGTTCTAAAATAACTTTCATTACTAAGTATAATTAAATTTAATTCATCAGAAATGTGTGCAGATATGGAAAAAATCAATTAGATGTCTTTTGGTTTAATAATTCTTGTTTTAAGCAGAGGTTACATCTGTTACATCTTTTTGTGTAGTACTACAATGTCTCAGAAAAATATTTGAAAATGCTTGTTAAATGAATTGAAATATGTAAGTTCATTCATCTTTTTCTCTCTTCTAGAAACAAAGAACTGTGTGTATTACCAAGGAGAATATGTCACAATAACATACTTTTTAAACTGAAAACTTAATTATCAGAAGTGAAAACAAAAAGATGTGTATAAAGGCATCAGAAAGGGGATTAGTATGAAAACGAAATTTTTAGACACTAGTGTGTTACTCAAATTGACATTTAATCAGCAAACAGACGAATTTACATTTCATTTCCAAGCCTACTTAACAAATCTACTTCCAGTTAGAGTATCTTTAATGTGCAAAAGCTCAGTGAAAGCAACTATTCACCATGCAAGACAAAGATAGGATTCCCTTAACCTACTGCCCTCTAGACACATCATTCTCTGTTAAACAGGCAGCTACTGCCAGATGCTCTCACTAAAAATGGTCACAGATGGTCAGTTGTCCAGTTAACAGAACATACTCTCCTCCCAATAATCAAAAGTAAGAAGGAAAAGATAGCTGCTAAGACTTGCCTGCTTACTGAGTTAAACATATTTGACTGCTGTTAAGTTTGGCAAGGCCCCAACACTGACTTTCTAGGAAAGGAAGACTAGACCATAGGGGTCTCAAGATTAAAAGGCACCTAAAAGTGATCCAGTCAACAGCTGCACAATGCTTGAATCCACACAACTGCATCTCTGCTTGTCAGCCATTCCAGCCATGACTTGGCAGCTTCAGAGGTGCGGAACCTGCTGTCTAACAAGAAAGTCTCTACAGCTGCAAGAGGTCTCTGTTATCCTGAACTGCAACCAGTCCAAATATTCAATCTAATTCCACAGTCAGGAAACACGCACCTATTTTAATAGACATAGTATATCCACAAAATTATTTCCCACTTTATGCATTAGAAGTAATTTTAAATGGAGTTAACTCAAATAGCACACACAGTGGATGTTACAACACAAAAACAAGGGCAGTAATATATGTTTTATTTTTAAAACGTAAGAGAAAATAAAGGTTTATGGTTTCAAAAGTTGACTATAGCCCAGGTGCAGTGGCTCATGCCTGTAATCCCAACACTTTGGGAGGCAGAGGTGGGAGAATCACAAGCTCAGGAGACTGAGACCATTCTGGCTAACACGATGAAATCCCATCTCTACTGAAGGTACAAAAAATTAGCAGACACATGGTGGTGTGTCTGTAGTCCTAGCTACTTTGGAGGGTGAGGCAAAAGAATCACTTGAACCTGGAATGCAGAGGTTGCAGTGAGCCAGATGACACCACTGCACTCCAGCCTGGGCGACACAGTGAGACTCCATCTCGGAAAAAAAAAAAGTTGACTATAGTTCAGAGATGATTTAAAACATTCAATAAAGATCAATTAATCTTACACACATATGCGTGAATGTATGTATGTATGTATGTATGTATGTATGTATGTGTAGAAAATTTGGAAGAACTGCTTTTATTTGCCAAAGTTTTAATAAAGCGTCTCTCTAAACTTTTCACAACCCGAGTATTTTTGTTCTAATAAATTAGTCACCTATTTAGAACAACCTCCCTGTAATGTATAAGAAGAGCATACTTAGAATGTATTTTTTGTACCTTCTGTATATTCATATTTTCTTTAACAGTGAGGATATTGAAAATACTAAGCTTGATCTATGACTCTTCAGTAACAATTGTCCCAAATCACGTTTCTTACATAGTAACTAAGCAAAATTTTCTCAAATTAGTAATATGCAGGGAAAAGGACTGAATATTAAGAAGCCATGACTAGGAGTAAATGTTGCTGGCTCCAGCGGCAGTCGGTTGGGCTGTCATCTCGGTATCAATGGCTTAAGGAAGGTCAACCTGGAAGATATGTAATTTCTTCTCATCATTTATAAAACTATGTGACAGGCCAGGCACAGTGGCTCATGCCTGTAATCCCAACACTTTGGAAGGCAGAAGCGGGCAGATCACCTGAGGTTAGGAGTTCAGGGCTAGCCTGACCAACAAAGTGAAACCGCATCTCTACTAAAAATACAAAATTACGGGAACATGGTAGTGCATGTCTGTAATTTCAGCTACTCAGGAGGCTGAGGCAGGAGAACTGTTTGAACCCAGGAGGTGGAGGTTGCAGTGAGCTGAGATTGCGTCACTGCACTCCAGCCTAGGCAACAAGAGCGACCCTCCATCTCAAAAAACAGAGATCAACAGTGAAACTTATTTAACCAAATGCAGATTAAATTAAAAACCAACATAACAAGATTACAAGCAAAATACCGTCTGGAAAACTATTCAGAGACCCACAGGATGAAGTTCAGTGTCCCTGCATCTCAAAGCAGACTCCCACCATTGCTTTTTAGTGTGCAGAGACTCAAATCGAATGCTGCTCTCACAGCCTGTGCTACTACTGTTAGACCAGGGAAGGACATGGAGAAGCCCACAGTTGGGCTGCTGTGCCTTTATCTCCCTTCACCTTCACATGGCAGTCTGTGAAAGGAAAGCCCGAGTGCTCTGTAAAATCCTAATATATGCAGATGGTATAACAACTCAGTAAGTATTTAGCAGGCTGGTCATCATAATTAAAGGAACTACTTTGTATTTACAGGAAAAAAATCTACTCATGAGCAACAAATAGCTAAGTGTACACTTTATATACCTTGATGAGTTTATATCAGTTTCTATCCATGTATTCTTCTTTTTTTTTTTTTTATTTAAGACAGGGTCTTGCTCTGTTGCCCAGGCTGGAATGTAGTGGTGCTATTCTGGCTCAATGCAACCTCTGCCTCCCGAATTCAAGCTATTCTCCTGCCTCAGTCTCCCAAGTTGCTGGGATTACAGGCACCCGCCATCACGCTCAGCTAATTTTTGTATTTTTTAAAAATAGCAACAGGGTTTCACCATGTTGGCCAGGCTGGTCATGAACTTCCAATCTCAAGAGATCCACCCACACTGGCCTCCCAAAGTGCTGGGATTGTAGGCATTAGCCACCATGCTCAGCCCATGTATTCATTTTAGATAAACATTACTTTCTACTAAACATGTTTACATAATGAAATTCACTCCACAAAGATAGGAAGACTAGGGAATAAAACAGTGTCTTCAGAACACTGATGAACTCAAACACAAAGTTAAGTGTTTTTTCCTCCAGTGTTCCTGGGTTAGAGCTACATAAATATTCACAGTTACATGGGTCATATATAAGGACATTATTTTATACCTAATTCATAATTATGTAGCAATTATATATCACTCTCAGGCAAATTATAAGTTAAACTTAGCCACTGAGTATTATTTGGTGATGACCCTCTTCTAATTCCTATTCTACATCTACCACACACTCACAATAATTGATCAGGATTGTAATCTACCAGAAGTGAACTCCACAAAGAAAAGCAGATTTGCAGACCTGGACAAAGAGAGAAAGATAACAATGGCTACCTGATATTCTCCACTGGACTCACAATGGTAAGTCAAAGACCAATCATTGGCTTCAGCAGTAGTGTATACACACTGATATAGTAAAATCAATTATTTTCTTTATACCATTAAGTCAGTTCTCCTGTCTTATATCCAATAACTTTTTTCTCAGTTGGTCAGAGAAGAAGGAAAAAGGGAAAACCACAGTATAAACTCACTCACCTAAACCACTGAGAGTATAGAGTAGGTCCCTGGTATCCAAGAAAATGGGCCCATTCTCCTGCTGCCCTTCTTCCTTGTAGTACAGCTTGTAGCCCAGAATGGCAGCTGTGTCCTCCACATCTTGCTGCCACTTCACAGAAATGGTGGTACAGTTCAGAGGCTCCAAATGCAACTCTGGAGACTTAGGGGCTAGTAAAATTCATTGGAAAATGTATGTATAAACAACCAATCATCCACATAAAGACATACAATAGGGTAGTTCTCTCAGTTTTCAGCAAACAGTTACCAAAAAGTTCAATCCAATAATTATACTTTAACCTAACTTTCCAAATTTCACAATAATTTTAAACTTTGAGATCAAAATGTAAAATATATACTACCTTAAAAAGACCAAGATACATAAATAGTATCTGGATATTTAAGTTTTTTTCAAAGAGGAAATTAGCATTTTCTAATTTTGGCCATCCAATACTCCTCTGTGATAGAGAGAACAGGTACTATTGTCAGTCAATTAATTAACAAGCAAACCAGAAATGTTACATTTCACATTAGTAAAACAGAAGGGTCTAGATTCGCAGTCCTATAGTCTTCCTATTGAACTAAGGATTTTAAAAATATATGGCGATAATATTAATTAGGCCTCTACGAATATCTTACTTTGGAAATCAGTTTGATTTGGACTGATGAGTCCGCAAGGTATGTGCTAAGCAAACTAACAATGCAACTAAAAAGTTTACACACAAATAAACTCTATGCAAGAGCAACTACTTAATAAAAAGTTTAATTTTTTCAAGTAAGTCTAACACCTATGGAATATTTTTATCTGTAAAACAAAATTTAAAAATATTAACATAACTTAGAGAAGAAAACTTGACTCAAGAGTAAAAATACTGTATTATCCTTTCTTAACAGTCTTCAGAAATTCACCTTTCACACTTGTAGCTTTAGGTGTCTTATGTGAAGTCCATACTGATGACTCTCCCAACCCCACTCTGGTGGCAGCAGTAATCCGAACCAGGTAGACACTGTCAGGTTTCAGGCCTTCCAAAAGGTACTCATGCGTGGTCCCTGGGAGCTCCAGAACTTGGATGGAATTCTCAGTACTTAGGCGGAAAGACAAGCGATACAGCACTACTTGGCCCCGCCGATATTTGGCTGGGATTGGCAGCCAGGAGATGAGAATATCAGTGGGACTTCGACTTGTCAAACTAATTTCAGGAGGTCTCAGGGGAACTAGTCATAGAAGAAAACAGGTTGTTTATAAATATTTAGAACTGAATTGCCACTTAGCACACCAGTAACTAAATTGTTTTAATTAGCAACATGTAATAAAGAAAAGATACTTGCAGCCCTAGCAGAGGTTTTCTGTGAAACAGAGTGCAAACCAGAAAACAGAAGAAAAAAACAATGAGGGAGGCCTAAGTGCATGGAACAAAGAATGTAAGATATACTTCATTGTGGTTGTGATCGCCTTGTTGTTGTTTGGAATGAAAATGACAATACTTGATATTCATACAAAATGTGAGACTACTTCTCAAATAATTCCACTAACGGGGCTTTGAAAAAAGGAAGAGTGAATTATACAATGATGTGGAAGCCTAGGATTCTAGAATTATATAACCAAGCAAATAATATTTTTGAAGTGTTAAGAGTTGTATCTTAAAAATTAATGTGAAGTTTATATTCTTAATTACAACATATGGTGTTTAATATGAAAAGTTTTTCCACCAAAAATTTTAATAAAACTGGCATTTCAGGAAAATAACTCAAATACAGGGACAGGCAGTCTAATACTAAGAGTTAATACTTGGATTCTAGAGTTAGCTTCTCTGTGTTTGAATCCTTGTTCTACCACATACAACTAACTATGTGATCTTGGCCAAATTAACTTCTCTGCATCTAGCTTTCTTAAGACACAAAATGAGGAAAATAATAATAGCTCCTTTTACAGTCTTTCCCTGCTATGCTGAGACTCACTTTCTTTAAGGATATATAGAGAGAAGAGATCTCACATATCAAAAACGAACAAACGAACAAACAAACAAACAAAAACCTCTTATCTTTATCAGCCTGTTTTCACCTTAGACATGCATAACAGAGGTTGTTAATTTTAATGAGTTAACTAGAGATATATACTGTAGCTCATTCTAAAGTGGAACAGGCTCTTAAATGAAAACTAAAATTTGGAATTCCATATCCAGATCAGTGAACATTTTTTCATTTAGTCTAATTTTGATTTTATAAACACCTAAGTAAGTGGCATTATAAAGATAAAATAGGAGATGTGGGACCAAATGAACAAAAAAGGAGATTTGGGGATTATTTATATAAAAAGGTTTTAAAAACTAAGAGCAGATCATTGATTGAGGATGATAAAACATTTGCTACGGGAGAACAGTATGATTAAGCATATATTAAATAATTCCCTTTCACATTGAAGGGTACTAAAAAAGGTCTTCTAGAGACCCTGGAAAGAGAAATCCCTTCTTTTACAGTATGATATGAAAAGTCAGAGGAGCAGAATCAGTTCTCTAGGGCTATCTTAATTGACGAATCTTCCCACCATTATTAGAATAATATGAACATCTGGCCTCCCCCAAAAGAACCACAATTCAATTTTCAACCCATGGTTAGGAAACAAACTAAACAAGTAATATTTCCCCCCTTAAGGAGTATAGGCATACTGTATTTAATCAACAGGTACTAAGTGCTAAGGATTTTTTGACAGGTGATAAATTACATAAACTCCAGGTTTCATAAGTCCAACAATACTTCTGACCCTCAGTCACTACATACTAAGTCAATATGTAATGGTCATTACAGTTATTCATGTCTAGAAAAACTCATATTTTGTCCTTTGCAACAAATTTACTATTTAAACTAGGAATCTTTGAAGAAATACAATGAAAATATAAGAATTTTATTATTAAATTCTGTATTATGAAAGTGCTCTTTATCCTTATCATGTTATTGGCAAAAAGCAAGAGGATTTTAAATGGCAAATTTAACATACCTGTTTTTTAACCAAAAAGAGGTTATTTTCTTTAAAACACATTTATTCATTGAAATTGACAAAACATATGAATGTTCATACTAAAATGGTGTAGAATCATGTTTTCTTACCATCCTCTAGAGTATTCTGTGTCACATGGTCAGACATCTGGCTGGCTCCCAATGGCATATATGCCACAATGTAGAAAGTATAATTGCTGGCAGGCTCTAAGTCATCAATAATATAATGAGTTGTGTCATTTCCAAGGACTACTTGATACTCTTCATTATTTAAACCTAAATTTAAAAACCCATGTTTTAAAATGACAAGTATTCAAAATAAAACTAACAAGACCATTTTCCTGCACTGTGAAACACTGGTTGCTGGGTCTAATCTCAATCTGTTACCTTCTGTGCCCTTTCACAAAATGTGAAAAGGAAGATCTTTATTTTCTAAAACTAACCATATTTTGCTACAAATTACTAGAGGATATTTTTCCTGAATAAATCAAACTGAAAAAAAATTCATCTTCTCTAAAACTTCATTTACCATCTAGTCAAAACTCAAAGCAGACAATGTACAGTAAAGTAACATAACAGAGCGTAATACAACAGAATACTGTAATTCATAACAGTGCATAAACTTTGCTTGCTCATGGGTTTTTTTTTTCCTTTTAGACATAAATGGAGAGAGAGTAGGGAATGCAATGGCTCCACGCTTTATAAAAACAAAACAAACCAAAAGTTGTCCTGCCAAAGATCTCATTTTGCCCCTAGAGATTCTATTAAATTTGACTGACATAAGTTGTTCTTTTATTTATATTGAAGACAAAAAAAAAAAACCTGGGAGTCGCAGAATGAGCCTCAAAATGCTTTGTCCCACAGTGAGTTCTTTTTTTAAGAGAAAAAAAATCTCAGCAATTCTTAATCAAATATGCATGGCAAGGTATAGAAGAGGATTTGTCTTTGTAGGATTTAATTCCTACAGAGCAAACCTGTAAAGTGGAACAAGAGCATTGGCAGCCACTGTGCTTTGCTAACAATTCACAGTAAACGCATGTCAACTTAATCAAATCTCTCTAAAGACGGAGTCCCTTCTCCCCACACTGGATTTATAAACAAAACAGAAGGCAAATTCCAGTGTTAAGTTTTCCCACATTTCTGAATTAACTTGATAGCATTTTAATTAGACAAGATTACAGGCATTTCACAACAGACTGGCTAATGGCTTGTTAATTAGGAGCTGCATAGTACGATTTCTGACCTACCAAACAAGGTCCTTGAGTTTGAATTAAAAAGCCTTGTTCATTCCTGAATAGACCACTGAGCCGCATGTGGAGGCTCTAATGAAACAACCATAATAGGGAACAAGAGTGGTCCCCACCAAAACCAGCATTCCTTTTACCTTCATAAATCACTGAAAAGGGAATTAACATACTCCAGCATGCTCAGTTATCAGACTTTCATTCTTCTTGCTTCCATGACCCCTGATTTACATTCAAAATACTCCTTTTCAAAACACTACTTCAAAGTACAAAAAACAAATAGCAGCAGCAACAACAAACCACCTGTTTGTATGAATAATTTTATTATATCCCCATCCGTAGGTGTCTGAATTTGTTTTTAACATATATTCCTTAAAAGCTAGGCTGTTTAAGTATAGAACTGAAATTTCTAAGCCTCTACCATGGTTTCCGTGAAAAATCACCAGATAAATTTCTAGGATTTATAGTTTCTCTTTTCCCTTTAAGATATTTGCTAAAAGTAAAATATAAGGAATTCTTTCAAATCCCAAAAATAGAACCAATAATTCTGAATAAAAATTTTCAGACACGTTTGATTTCTACTTTTACATAATGAGATAGCAGTAAAGAATGTCCTGTGCAATTTTCAGAGGGTTCTATATGATTTCAGAAAACATCCAAAATATACAAAATCAAAAATATGTGGAATTTGACAATGTTTACTTTCTCCCTTAAAAATAATATGTTGTAGTGTACATAGTTTATTAACAGTCACACCACTATTCTAAAGTAACTGCATACTTAAATTGGTATATTAAGTCTCAGTTAAGGAATTTACACCTTGTCTGGAATAAAATTCATAAGTACACTACTTTGTAATTTCTAAGCAGGCAGTGATGCTTTGTATTAGCTAGTAATTGTATACTTACATATACAAAGTACACAATAACATGAAATTTAGAAAACAATAGATACATAGGTGATTATTTTATTAAAGAAAATAACTGCCACAGAGGAATTATGTAAGGCATTACTCATATTGAAAACAAATCCTTGATAACAAGGAGTACTTAAAAATGAGCATTCCTCAAATTGCTTACCTTCTGCTTTCATGTAGTGTACAGAATAGGCGATGACTTTGTCTGAATTATAAAGTGGCCTCTCCCAAGCTAAAAGGATGGCTGAGCTTGACATGGTTTCAGCATGCACATTATAGGGAGCACTGGGTCTGTCTTCTGACATCACTACAGTCAGTCTGGCTCTAGATAAAATAGATCCTTGGCTATTCTCAGCCATGCACTGATAAATACCATCATCTTCGGGAATAATCTGGTTAATTACCAATTTGCTGAGGAAAGAAAAAAATTATCTCCAGGAAAAATTATAAGAATGAATAAAAAAAGTTTGGCTATTGCTAAATATAGTCTTATTTTATTTTATTTTAAAATTAAAATTAAAATCAAGCATTTGTAGAACGCTATAGCAACTCTGTGGAATCCTGAGGATTTTTTGGTGGGTTTTTGTTTTTGTCATTTTGGTTGTTGATGTTGTTTTAAAGAGATAGGGTCTCACTCTGTAACCAGGCTGAAGTGCAGTGTCACAATCACAGCTCACTGCAGCCTCAAACTCCTAGGCTCGAATAATCCTCTCAGCCTCTTGCCTCAACCTCCTGAGTAGCTGGGACTCTAGGCGTGTGTAATGTTTTAATTTTTTGTAATCTGCTGTAGAGACAGGGTCTCACTATGTTGCCCAGGTTGGTCTCAAACTCCTGGGCTCCCACCTTGGCCTCCCAAAGCACTGGGATTATGGGCAAGAGCCACTATGCCTGGCTTATAGTCTCATTTTAGATAATAAAAATTACTGAGAAGAAAAAAACTATGTAATCTGTCCTAGTGAAAAACAGTCCACATTCATTACTTAAAATCACTCATTTATTTTTTGAGGCTGCAGTAGAATTTGTAATATTCAAATAGAATTTGTAATATTCAAATATTTGCTTTAGATAACTTATTTTTTAATTTGGCTCTTAAGAATTTGTATTACTTGAACAGCAACTAATGTGTACATAAAATTCAGGTCAACAAAAATTTTTAAGTTTTGTTCAACATAAATGAGAATGTTATAGTAACTTGTATTTATGCTAATAAAAATTCTTAAAATTATTAACTGTGGAGAAATCATTAGGGAATTATTTCTTCTAATTTCTTTATTTTATGAAGAAGGAACTAAGACTCCAAAGAGTTAATATTGCTTTCTTGTGATAACTAGTGGCTTAATAGGACTAGAACCCTGGAGTTTGGCCAACTGTCTAATATTCATTTTATTATCATCTACCATTTTCATGACCCATGTATATAAAATATCCATGAGTATCTAGCATAACACATGTATGACATGCTAATATTATAAATCTTAGTTTAGTTTCATTTTGTTAATAACTATCAAGGTAAGTTAGGTATTTGGTGTTAATATAACCATTTCACATAAAAATTACTAAAGCCATTATATCATATATAAAATGGTAGCAAAGTAACACAGCCTACCTGTTGTACATTTTAATTCTACCATTTGAATGTATCTTCCTTCCATTTTTCAGCCATGACATCTTGGGAGAGGGGATTCCTTCCGCCTGACACACAAATCGAGCAGTGCCAGCTCGAGGTCTTGTTAAACTTTCTGGCCATTCAACAAATGAAGGAGGAGCTATTTTTAAAGAAAAAGAAAATATTTCTGTGATCCTAACAGGAATGATATAAATAGTTAAGGAAGAATACAGCAAATGAAACAAGTCCCATTACTGAAGATGTCTGACATGCTGAGATCCTATATACAACTCTCCAGGTGCCTTTTCTTCTCATTGTTCAGTGTTCACTTTCTCCATGATTTCCCTATTCAGAGCATCTATATAGACACACTTAAAATATATGTACCTATCATCCTTCTTAACTAAGCTCAACATACAGCCACTTGCAAATGTAGTTAGACAACAGATTAAATTTTTAAATTGGCAAATAGGTATATGGATATGGGGGTAAGTGTGAAGAAGCTAGAAGGGAAGCTTAAATAAGAAGGAACATAATGGTATGCACGTAAACAGGATGGTGACCTCAGGAGTGACTCTACAGTTATATTTTAACATAAGTATTTTTTTCCTGAAATTCATCATTGGATTACAACACTTCATATCAATCTTCACAATGCTACAAAGCTCAAGAAAGGAATAAGTAATCTATGAATGATATAAAACAGCAAATGTTAAAATGTAAGATTTCCCTGATTGCAGAATGAGAGGGACATACCTAATACAGTTAAAGTTGCCATAGCAACTGTAAAGTTACGTGTTCCAGGGGTAGTGGCCCGACAAACATATACTCCAGCATGTTGTAGCTTGATATCAGATATCATAAGATTACTATTTCCAAGTACCCGAGAATTAAAGACATCAATGGATTTGTGATCTATTTCAAAGAGAATACTTCAGTTAAAACAATGTAACATATAATCTGAAATTATATCAAAGGACCACTATCCAAGCAATTAATCATGAAAAGTATAAAATTAAGTATAAAATTCTCCATATTAAGAACTATTCTCTACACACTGAAATGCCAAAAAAGTTAAGACATTCAACAGCTAAACCTGTTTTTATATATAAAATAAATACTTTATAAATTTCATTAAAAAAAACACAATTTAAGGAAAAGGCTTTTTTTTTTCCTTGAGAAGACTTACCAAGACGGCTCCAAGAAATGATTGGTTTGGGATTTCCTGTGGCCATGCATTCCAAAACTACAGTCTGATGAAGAGACGTTGTTACGTTTTGTGGACCTGCTATAATGGTTGGTGTGTGGAAGGATTTAGACTCTTTAGCTTTGGGGAGGAAAAGACAGAATATAAAAATAATTATAAATAAGATATAATAAGTGAAATTAGTAAGACATTTATTCTTGTCATTCACTTTTCATTTTTTTTGAGATGGAATTTTGCTTTTGTTGCCCAGGCTGGAGTGCAATGGTGAAATCTTGGCTCATTATAACCTCCGCCTCCCAGGTTCAAGCGATTCTCCTGCCTTGGCCTCCCGAGTAGCTGGGATTACAGGCATGCACCACCATGCTTGGCTAATTTGTACTTTTAGTAGAGACGGGGTTTCGCCATGTTGGACAGGCTGCTTTCGAACTCCTGACCTCAACTGATCCACCAGCTTTGGCCTCCCAAAGTGCTGGGATTACAGGCCTGAGCCGCCACATCTAGCCCACTTTTCTTTTTTCTAAAACAACTTTATTGAGATGTAACTCACATACCATACAATTCACCCATTTGAAGTATAAAATTCAGTGGTTTTTAGAGTTTTCAGAGTTGTACAATTACCACAATTAATTTCAGAATATTTTTATCACTCCCCAAAACAATCCCATATCCATGTCACTCCCAATCTCTTCCTCTCTTCACAGCCTAGTAACCACCAATCTACTCTCAGTCTCTCTGAATTTGACTATTCTAAATATTTCACATAAACAGAGCCACATATTATGTGGTCTTTGTGACTGGCTTCTTTTCACTTAGCATAATGTTTTCAAGGTTCACCCCTGTTGTTACATGTATAAATACTTCATTCGTTTTTATTGAGCAATATATATCATTGCATAGATTAACTCTTTATTTATCCATCCATCAGTTGATGAACATTTAGATTGTTTCCTTATCATTACTTTTCACTGAGGTTCAAGCACTCATTTATTTATGTAATTAAATTTCCTGAAATTTATTTAATTTACCTAAAATTAAAGCATAACATTATAAATACATAACTTTAGCCTCTTCATGTTTTTCAAAATTCCTTTTTTTTTTTTTCAGCCTTAAAGGATCTGTTAGGAAGCAGTATCTCTTGTCAAGAATAAACATTTATGTTAAGTTCAACAATGTCTTCAGTACAGGTTTTCTTTCACTACATTTAAATAACCTTAACCTTTAAAATAAAAACTAGCATCTGTTTCATTTTAATGAAATATCTATTTCTTTATATTTATCTCTCAAGTTTCCCTTCTGCCTATATTAATGTATGGCAAAATATATAAAATTATGTTCACTTAATAATTACAATGATAATTTTTGAATTGAGACTGGCATTTTTTTAACTTTTATTTTTGTGTTTTAAAAAAGTGTTCAATATAAAAGTTTTATATTTTTTATTCTATAAACACTACTTTTTATAAAAGACATGTATCATTTTTACAAATGCAAATTATGGTATTTCTTTAAACAACAAGCAAAAGAATATAAGACTGGAAACAAATATATATTTTTCCACATTAGACAATTCTGGCAGAAATGAATGATTGTTATTCTCTTTTTTGTGCTTTCTATATTTTACCCTTTTAAAAATAAAAGTGAAATATAGCCAGCCCTCAGTATCTGTGGGTTTCACATCTGTAAATTCAACCAACTGCAGGTTAAAAATATTTTTAAAAATAATAGAAATTTTAAAATACAATGATTTATATAGAATTTACATTATTAGGTATTGTAAGTGTTGTACAGATGATTTAAAGTATACAGGAGGGTGTGCATAGGTGAATAAAAATACCAGGCCATTTTCAATAAGGGACCTGACCATCGGTGAATTTTGGTGTTGACTTGAATATCAAAGATTGAATATATATTTTTGAGACGAAGTTTCACCCTTGTTGCCCAGGCTGGAGTGCAATGGTGTGATCTCGGCTCACCACAACCTCCGCCTCTCAGGTTCAAGCAATTCCCCTGCCTCTGTCTCCCGAGTAAGCTGGGATTATTGACCATGCCTGGCCAATTTTGTATTTTTAGTAGAGATGGGGTTTTCTCCATGTTTGTTAGGCTGGTCTCAAATGCCTGACCTCAGGTGATCTGCCCACCTCAGCCTCCCAAAGCACTGGGATTACAGGCATGAGCCACCATGACCAGCCAAGATTGAATATTTGTTAATCTTTCTTAAGACTGAATATTTCTTAAAGACGTTGATATGACATAGAAAATTAGCCTATAAAAGAGGAGTTGCTCAGTAAGTGAAAATGACCATTTTCCAAATAGATAACAATTTAAATGAAATTCTACTTGACAGTACACTATTACAGCAGAGGAGAAAAAGTAATAACCGCACCAATACAATGTCATAAAAATGGGAAAAGCCACTCTGCATGGTACCTGGAATCACAGTTAGTGAGGCCTCCATACTTTTACGTCGGTGAGCTACAGTGGCAGCAACACAGCGATAATTCCCAGAATCCATCTGGTCAACATCATAGATCTGCAGTACTCCTGTTGGTAGGGTAGTTATCCTGTTATGAGAGAAAGATAACTAAACTTTTTGTACTAGATTTTATATTTTACTTTATTTATTTATTTTTTAAGACAGAGTTTTGCTCTTGTTGCACAGGCTGGAGTGCAATGGCATAATCTTTGTTCATGCAACCTCTATATCCCAGGTTCAAGCAATTCTCTTACCTCAGCCTACCAAGTAGCTGGGATTACAGGCATGCACCACCATGTTTGGCTAATTTTTGCATTTTTTAGGTGAAACGGGGTTTCACCATGTTGGCCAGGCTGGTCTCGAACTCCTAACCTCAGGTGATCTGCCCGTCTTGGCCTCCCAAAGTGCTGGAATTACAGGTATGAGCCACCACACCTGGCCCAGATTTTATATTTTATTTACCATATTCAATGATAGGACTTAGTACACTCAATCTTTTTACAGTGATAGAAGCAATACTTTAAAGACCTTTAAAAATACTAGCTTGATTCTACTGTTCTCATTTGGGTTACTAAAGCTCTCTATAACATAAACAATCCAGCATGATTTGGTTTGTGCAATCTATCAGTCAAATTTTACAGAGTCACATTTGACATTCTAGCTTTGATTTAGCTACATGGTGGCCCAGAGTTTAGTATAATTTTTTTAAATTCCTTATTTTTTACCTATTAATATCCATATATTGTCTAAGACATATGTAGTTTTTTTTTAATAAAGCACTTCCATGAATAACTTATTCCATCTTAGTGCTTTTACTATGTTAGCAAATGATTGCCTACTCAGGAGCAGGGCAGGAATCAAATATTTTGGAGTCGCTGTCAAGTTCTTGATCCCTAAATCCCAATCACCTCAGAACACTCGATGTGTGCATGTGCACATGTGTATGTGCATTCATTTGTAGTAAAGAGGGGGTTGGGAAGTAGAGGGCAGAGACAGGAGTGGGCAGCTATACCACCACTGCCCTTCTTAGCAATGAGAATGTAATTTGGTTTCCTAAAACTCTGGGCTGCAGTCCAGATACTCATGGTTAGAACAGATGGTTGAGGAAAGGCTCTTGGCAGTAGGAGAATCTATTAATGCTGATGTGAATCAAGAACCATGCCCCATATGCCAGAGACCGATGATCTAATTCTTTGGCTAAGTTTGAAATGTCTTAAGCAATCAGTTATTACTGCCCTAAATAAAAATGAGGCCCATAATGGTCTTTCTTCCTATATAATCTCATATGAAGTCTTGATTACTCCCATATCATCTTCAAAGACAAAATCTACATCTACCTGTCCACAGTCATAGGCAGAGTTGTCCGATTGAACTCCCATGTTATGACTGCAGGAGGGTTGGATGAAATCTTGCATGCAAATCGAGCAACTCCACCTTCATGGACTTCAGTAGAAACTGGCTGAACTTCAAATGCAGAAATAGCTGTAAGATAAAGTTTGAGAAATTCAGAGTAAGTACATGAAAATAACAGAAGTAACATTATGCCAGATACTACTTATTAGAGTTGAACCCTTACTTAGATATAAGACCAACCTAACATACCTAGCACGAAGATAATTTAGTGAATGATTTTAGAAAAACCACCAGGCAGTTGCCCAATTTAAGGAGTCTGGGCTTTCCCAAAATTAAATTCTAAATAGGTTCACAAGAAACTTATCATCTATTTGGAGATAAAAAATAAACATATGAAACAAACATAAACAATGGCATGTAATTATATACTAAACTGGCAGTACAAACGTCAAATACTATTGTATTTCAGAGGAGAAAGAAAGAAAAACAAACTAGTCAGGTAAAAACCATTTACAGGAATTAGTTTTGAATTCGCTTTTGAAGAATCCATTGGATTTAGATGGGGGTGGTGGTGGGAGGGAACAGAACATTAAAAGTGAAAAGAATAATATGAAGACAAGCACAGAGGTAAGAAATGTGAAGCTTGCATTCATCGGATTGTGAAGAAACAGCCAGGACTACTGTAAAATATTTCAGATTAAGAGTTTACGGGAAAGCTGAAGGAGAATACAGATAAAACAGATTTATATCATGGTACAAATTAAGGCACCACTGAAGATTTCTGAGTAAACACATGTCCTGATAAAAACAATGTGTGGGAAAAATTAATCAGGATGGACTGAAAAAAGGAGTCTCAAGTCAAAAGTCCACCAGACTACTAAACAGGGATCACAGAACTGGGTGGCAGCAGTGGGAATGGAGAGTCAAGAGATATCTTAAAGAAAACAAAGACTTGGTTCTTATGCCACAGACATATCACACTGTGTTTGGAAACAGATGAAGTTGGTATTGACAGAACAGAATGAGAAAGGAAAGAGAAGACCAAGGATGCATCTGAAACAAAAGGCAGAGAAACTCAAGAGACTATTTGTAGGCTCATGTATTTCCAAAGCAGAGATCAGTCTTGAAGTGTTGGTATTTTCTAGTTAATTATTCTTTATAATTATAGGTAGGCCTTCAGGAAGGGGTATCCATTATTTCCTTTTTTGAAGGAGAATAAACCCCAGGTTTCCCTTCCCTCTACTAAGTCTTCCAAGATACAAAGAAAAGGTCACAACTATAGTCTTACTCTTCCCCTCCCCAGACGCTAGTCCAAAGAAAAAATTTGTTTGAACTTTATCAATAAAATGAGAAGTTATGAAGAAGAATAGAGGTAACAGGGCTAGATGAACTTATGCTTCATTAGACTGGAAAGGATAAAAGGTCACAGAAGGCTAACCAATTCTGCTTTGCACTTTAATTCAATTACCTGTAGATACATCATAGGCCTTTACAGGTATAGGACAAGGACAGTGAATAATGGTCAAATATTCTTAGGAAGATTGACTTCCAAAAAGGGTGGAGTGGAAGTAAAGAAATACCTTGTATATGAGACAAAGATTTCGATTTCAAACTGCTATTGTCAGTGGATCCACAAAGTCAGAAACATTTGCATAATAACCATCAAGAACTTTTTCACTCTCTTTTCTCTTGAATATACGGTGTTTTCCAGGAGTTATGTAATGTATGATATTGCAATAGACCAAATGCAGAAGCAGATACATACAAGAACACAGCTGTCTTCTATTAAGCTAACTAAAGAGATTTGCACAAATGTAAAGCAATTCTGCTCCTCTTGCTATTTTTTTCCTTTGGAAAATAGTTATATTAATATGTGATGAATAAACGTTTTCATTCTTAAATGAATTAGTATGTTTCTCAGCTTTAATTTCTAATACTGTCAGCAGATGTAAGCTACATAAATAAAAGTTATTTGAGTTTTAAGAGTATAAAGAGTGAGACTTTTTAGTTGGAGAACTACTATTCCAGAATATCAAACTCTAAAAATGGATATCATGAATCTATGTCGCTGATCAATTCATTAGTCCCTGTAAAACTCTGGCATCATATTCAACTACTTACAATGGTGTTTCACTAATACTGAGCTACTTTTAATTGCTTTTATAATCACTTGCTAGGGTATTTATCTGCAAACATTTTAATTTTGGATCTAAACCTATGGACCATCCACTGCTGTTTATCTACTGAAGAATTAGGAAACAGATGGCTAGATTCACCTTCACAACATCAGCTTCACATTCAGAGAGAACAACCTGATTTCTCAGTAATGATGTAAGCTTGTCTTCTTATAATTAAACTATGTTGAATACATTAATTTTGGGGGGAATTAGGGCCTACATTTCCATAAATTTAACGCTTGCTTTATACAATATCAAGCATTTTTGTCGATCCCATATTTACCTTTTCCATGTGTTACAGGTGACCATTAGTTCTAGTTGTCACTGATAATCCAGTCAATATTCAATTGACAGACTTCAAAATGGGAATTTTACTTTATTGTTTCTCAGCCTCTACCTCTCCAGACCAAAACATCTTATTTAATTTAACTTTTCTTTATGAAGCAGAAGCTCTCCCAGGCCTGTCCACTTCAACAATTTCTTCTTCCATTATCCCACAATGAATCAAGCATTCAATTCAAGATGCTTTATTTCATTTATTCCTCCCTCATATCTGACTTCTCTTCAACCCTACCGGTCCTCTGTTCAATTCAGGCCCTTATCATATCAGATCTGGAAGTCTTTCTGGAGCCTCTTAGCTGGTATCTTCCCTGCCAGCAGCATCACCCTCCAGAGTGATCATCAAAAACCATGAATCTGTGTTGCTGATGAATTAATTTGTCCCTGTAAAACTCTAGCCTCATATTCAACCACTTACAATGATGTTTCACTAACACTGATCTACTTATAATTCACTAAATATACCATGATATTTCATATCTCTAAGGTTTATATGAACATACCCTTCTATTGCTAATATCATTGGTCCCTTTGTCCACCTGAGAAATCCTATCATCCTTTAAAGCCTAGTTCACTTATCCCATCCTTTGGGAAGTGGTTTCTGACCCTTTTTTCTGCTACCTCTGTACACTGCAGACCTTCACTGCTGCCTTTATCTCCCAGTATTATAATCACTATTTACAAGTCTTCCTTCCCTTCTATGTTAAAAGCTCACTGAGGCGCAGTAGGGGGTCATATTCTTTGCAAGATCCTGTAAGACAGTGAATGGTACAAATTTGGCACTAAAAATATACTTTTGGAATTGAACTAATATTATTTTGAATTTTCTCCAATTCTATAGCTCTTTAAGCACAGTACCTAGAATTGTGGGAAGTTTCTTGGGTACAAATATCAAGATGGGGGTGAGAAGAAAATAGTGCTTTTTATTATTATTATTTACTTTTGCTACAATTCCAAAAAATGCCCAATAATTTACTAGCATTATTTTTAGAGACAAAAATCTGTCCCTCTGATATCAAAGGATTTTTATAAAGATTAAACAAGCCAATATAGTGAGGGTCCTTTACTGAAAACTTGCAAGTGTGATTATTGAAAATAAAAGTGACACTTTGCTGCCTTATTTCATGCTAACCACACAGGCAACTGAGTGTTGTTTTTTACTCTGAATCTAACCAATCAAACAGAATGCCTTGGCACCACTGCCTTTTCTCTAAGCAGTTCCCCTTTTTTCTCAGATGTTTAAATCTATGAAATCCTTAAGATTTCTTTATTATAACAATTGAGCTAATCTGGTACTTTAGGCCTAATGTGCTGCAACTCTAGAATCACAAAATTCTGAGAACTGAAAGAAAATTGGCTTTATCCTTTAATTCATTTAAAGATATTTCTGGATCCCACTCTGGTTTTCAGCAAGGTTTCAAAGCAAGTATAAAGATACATATTTTTATTTATTTATTTTTTAATGAACGACAGGTTCTCATGTTGCCCAGGATGGCCTCAAACGCGTAGTCTCAACTCCTCAAGCACCGGGACAACTGGCCTGAGCCGCTGTGGCTCCCTAAAGATACATATTTTTAAATCCTCACTTTTATTTTTAAAATATCTAACTTTTTCATATCTTTTGAAAATTCAACCCACTGGCAAAATAGTTTCATGGAGAAAAATACCAAGCCAGATACTGCTCAGGACTTTCATTGGTTACCTCTGAGACTAACAAAAAAGAGGCAACCATTAATCGATAATGAAAGTAAACTTCCTCCTTTGTGTTTGTAATCCCTCCATCGGGACACCAATCCCCAATCTCTTCTCTCAAACTCTTCTCCTACTTCCTTCCCCTCCACAAATAAAACTATTCTACTCTCTCCTAACCTCAAAAAACAAAAGGAAGAAAACTCCAAACATTTCTTTACAAGACTTTACATATCCATCTAGCAGCTCTCCACTCTCCTACCCATAAGATTGAAACTTCTCTAAAGAGTATTATTCGGGCTGTCCCCACTTCTTCCTTTCTGACTCCATGCCTCAAACAACTAATTTGCCTTCTTCCCTTTTTATGTTATTGAAATAGGGTCTATGATACTACATGCTCCTTGTTCTTTTATTTCTCCAGCTGCTCCTTCCTGTCTCCCATTTTTAAGGGATCACTCTCCTTCCTCTTCTGCACTTCCTTCCAGAGAGTGTCTGTTCTTTTCTCTCTCCACAGTCTCTTTTGGTGATTATATCCTCTTACAGTTTTCAACCACAGCCAGCTGTAGCTGCTGATTTCCCTAAATACCTCTCCAGCTTAGATCACCATCCTCAGACCTTCGTACTCAGGGCTCCAACTGTGCACTGGACATCTTGACCTGGAATTTATGAAAGGCACTCCAAACTCATTATGTCCAAAATGAAGTCATCATCTTTCTTCCAAGCCTGCCTCTCTGCTTCACCTTTGTCACACCACTGTCAAATTATTCACCTGAGCTAGAGACTATTTACTCTTTCTGAATTCTCAATCATCTTTTCCCACTGATTTTAACTCCTAAACATGTGTCAGATCTGTTCCCTTCTGTTCCAGTCCCAATATCTCTCACCTGAACCACTATCAGCCTCTTGTCTCTGCTTTCATTCTTC